CCAATTTGATAATAAAAATATGTTTGTGTTGTATAACTGCAACATGTATCTGAACAACGGTGATTATGCATAAATGTGCAGCCAGACAGGTCTGTCAGTAAGAGGCAGAGAAAGAGAAGAGGGGGACTGGGGAGGAGAAGGGGAATCTCCCTCGGGGAGGATACAGCAAGGCAGGAGACGACATGGCAAAGGCAGCAGGAACACTTGAAGAACATGGCCAACTGCCAAGAGTAGTTTGGCGGACCTCAGCTGACACAGCACTTCACTGCAGCAGCCACATAAGTTTTCTTTGGTTAAGGCTTACAGGGCTTTGCGCTAAAACAAGGTCCCTCTGCTTCAAGCATGTAAACGGTGCACACAGATCAAGATCGGATGCAGTCAGACATGATTGACAATACTTTTACAAAACCAATTTATGCACACTAGAGGACTATATTAAGCTTGTAAAGCACCATGCAAACAGAAACAAAACCCATACCAGAATAGACAGAATGAAACAGACTACAAAAAATACACAGCGCGCACCCAAACTTGTGATTGTCTCAGGACTTTCATGTACTGCATCCATTCCCAAAACGCTAAAGCTTTCCCTTTCTCTAATATACCTAACCACAATCTCTAACTTAGTGATACTATGCACACACTATTGAGAAAACACATCCATACATAAAAAATTATTGAAACAAAGCGCACACATGCACATTTCCTTGTGCTCGAGAAATTTGTCAAATAGAACACAACACATGATGAATGGGTTGAGGGAGGTTTGATCTGAGAGACTGCACTTGGCTGGTGATTTTGGATGAAGTGTGTTATATAAGTGACTTTGTGTGTTTGCGAGTATTTTAATACATTTGTATCTGCCTTTATGTGTATATGTGTATTTATGTGTCTGCATGCGTGTGTATGAAAGACAAGTTTGCAATTTTAGCCTGGATAGCTTCTTATAAAGACAGTATGTACAAACACACACACACATCCAGGGTGCAAACTACTGGGGAGCCAGGGGGAGCTTAGCTCCCCTAAATAAGACATCAGCTCCCCTAAAAGTATGGTTTGTGATATTTTGGGGGGTCTCTAAAATATTGACAGCATGTTTTATTGCCATTCATTTCTATATTTCTCGATCATCATGGATGTGGTACTGCAGCTGGGGGGCTTCTCCGCAGCGCCACGCAACTTTTCAAAGTTGAAAAGTTGCAGTCAAAACAGCAAACAGCTGTTGTGTGAAGCGTAATTGTAGCAAAATGGCTACATTTGATGATAATAATATTAATCGTCATGTTTTATTATAATAATATTTATTAGAATAATAAGAGAAACATGCCTGATACTTTCACAGTCAGCCCAGGCCTACATTCTAGCAGCTATTAATGATTCAGCAGTAAAAATCAGTGACCCTAACCCTTACCCTACCCCTAACCTTACCCTTAAAACCAAGTCTTTACTATGTAGGAAGTACAAGTACACACACACACACACACACACACACACACAAATATACACTCACTCAGGTGTATCTCTGCAGTGAGCATGACAGGACAAGACAAACAGAGTGATTATATAAGTGGAAAACACTATTTGAAGCCTGATCGTTTTATGCTGTAAGTCCCTGTAAATTATATTATGAAGTATCTATATTACATTATGTATTGAAACTGCAGAGACGGGTGTGTCAATGGAAATTATATATGATGACATTAATATATCCTCTGCTTCAAGTTATTAACTTGGTTCTCCAGGGATAAATTACTGTTACTTCTTATAACTTTGTAAATTCCCTTTTGTTGTGATATTTATGATAACAGCATCTAAGATATTACAAACTTGAGCTTATTCTAACCCCCCAAACTTTGTCAGCCAATCTTTGCCAATATGTTGTTTTATATTCATAAAATAAATTAAAGCTTTACGAACTGCTCCCTGTGTTATGCTGGACCTGGGCTCACCTTCGCTGTGCACTTGTGTTAAACACAGCAAGGATGAGCACATTATACAATTATTTCTTTAAACACACTTGACTGAATCCACCCCTGAGTTTTAAGGAAACTGTAATGTAAACACCAAATTTTAAAATAATTAATCTCTGAAGTGACAATGCTGACATGCGTTTTAAATGAGCCATGATAAAACACATCCGACGTCTCTAAATAAGTTGCCCTTGGCCTTCGGAAGAAAATTTTTCATCACGTGTTCTTTCACATCATAATTGCAACATTTTTAGCTGCAGGGCAGAAGTTAAGGCTCCTCTGCGAAGTTGTTGAATGTTGGGTTACGGTAAACTGTCTGATCACTGCTCAGATCTCGTCAGTTTTGTAACACTGACTGTAATGCTTTAAAAAAGAAAGATTTTACAAAGGTACAACAAATAAGTGCTTATATATTTTAGTTGTTGATGGACATTGTCCACAGCAGTTAGTGAGCAGGTGGGGGGATCAGTGTCCTACTAGTAGGATACCTTTACAGACTGGCCACAGACTAGCATCATGCTAATGTGAACTCAGTAAAAGGAGACGTGGTTATGGTTTGCCAGTGAGGTAAGGTAAGGTAATATTAGCTCAGAGTGAAAAAGGAGCAATGCTGTCACCAAACTGCTTCATGGCTAATTACACACCAAAGGAAGCTGGCTGCTCCAGTGCTTGACACCACCCTCCGGTGCTGCACTGTTTTAGGAAACAAACGTCCACCCCCGATGCTCATTGCCAGCTGCTAGTGCAGCGACAAATGATGGCAATAATTTGGGAAAAATCTCCGCCCAGATGTGAGGGCAGCTTCAGGTCTTATAAAGTGAAGAAGTCTTGCTTTTACAACCACCCACTCAACGTCCACCGAAAGGTTTCCCTTCCGTTCCACAAGTATATTACTTATTTGAAGAACCCATTAACGATTATTCAGGGTGGCAGGGTGGCCTAGTGGTTACAGTGACCATCCCATCATGTAAAGGACAAGGGTTCAATTGCAGTAACAGCCGTACATCCTGGCCAAAAGCCCTTCAGCAAGATGCTGAAACCACTCACTCAGTCACTGAAAGTCACTCTGGGTATGACTGCTCGCCACATGTTAACATGCTTTGCCTTAAGTGGACTGTTTTTTAAATTTTCATATTAAATCTAGAACGTCAGGACCCTAAAAAAACATTGAGTCATGGAGCAGATAAACATGCAAAAGAATTTATCACAATGTGTGCGGTCACTGAACATTAATACCACTTCTCAATGATGAGAAAGACACACTTATAAAGAGTTGAGCTGTGAACTAGGTGAAGGAGTAAGAAAAAAATGTAAGGATGTGTGTTTGGATGGAAGAAGATAATGTCTTTATAATATATCACATAGCTCAATGTCACACTGGAACAAAAATAATGAAAGCAGACATGGTCTTGCCTTCCACTTTATGTAAACAGTCCTCATTTATGTGACACTGTAGGACCATTTTACACAATTGTGACATGACTATTGTTGTCAATAGATGCCCAACACAATTGCAATCAGGTATGACTACTTATTTTACTGTTATCCACAAGGTTACATGTAAGTTATGATGTACTGTATGCTGCATCGTATTGAGTAGGATAGACATACTGCCTATTATTGGTCAACACATACATACACATGAATCACACCTACATGTAATTTTGACCCTTCAATCAACCTAATCTGAATATATTTGCACTGAGACAAACCCAAAGTGGTAAAAGGAGAGCTTCAGCCACATACGTGTGGAGAACATGCCGTCCACACAGAAAGAGAAAAGGTGACCAGCTGGATCAGATGTAAATCGAGTGCATTCTATGAGGCAACAATGGAACCAAGCAGCACACAGCTGAATCCGGTGCTTCCGAATTTGAGGACAGCAAACGTCCAAGGAAAAATACTGGAGCACATCAGGTCAAAATGGACAAAGACATGAGGCAAACAACATATAGTCAACATAGAATAGGCATACAACTGTCATTGGATAATTGGTTGAACAGGATTTCAAGTGAATTGGATAATGAATACCAGAGCAAGAGTTGCCATAGTCAGTGCATTAACATTAACACCACATCGGAGACAAAAGAACACACACACATCTTAGAGTTACACAGAAAAAAATTACAGAGAATAAATGCGCTGCATCTGTCAAGAACAAAAAATTAGAGGAAACATGACAAATTCAGTTCTTCATTTTAGTCAAATGGCTCCACAGGAGTGTGTATCCAATATGCCTCTCTGCAGAGCAGTGATTTCATAATGTCACCACTTCTAGGAGAGGGTGAATATTTTTCTATTCTCCAGAACATGAATGATGCTTCAGAGCAACAATGTAACTAACCACTAAGCCACACTATTAAAATGCAGTACTTACGGAAATGGTAATTAAAAATATATTCACGGCTTTCATATAATTATTTTGTTCACAAGCTGCCAGACCACCCAGACCTATTAATGGTCCTTTATTACCATGCAGTGTACTCTCAAACTAATTAATTGAACTAATATACAAAATAACTTAAACCCTAAACAATGACACTAACGGGACCAATCTCTGTTGTTTGAATTTCTTACTTAGAGATAAGTGTTTTGTCCTGGAAGGATCTGGAAGAATTAATGTTTGATTACAGCATAAGTGTTGGCACATTGCTGCTGCTGTAATGCCTTTAGGGAGGCATTTACACTGGCCAGTCAGAGCAGAGATACTGACTCAGCTATGGTTAAAATAAACAGAGATGATATCTGGTGGGTTTTTTTCCAAAAGAATTCTGCAAGTCAGAATATGCGAGAATCTAAACTAGAGTGACAGGTGTTGCGCAACAAGGTAATCATTACGGTGCTGATCTTACACATCAAAAGCCAAGCAAAGGATGGTGGGATACATTTTTAGAAAGGAGAGATTGATATCTACCTGTTATAACTGTGCCAGCAAAATGCCACAGTATAATTTCAAAGCCTAAGGGACCTGCAGAGAAAAGAAGAGTGCCTCCAATATTTCACAAGTAGGAGTATGGAAATGTTTCAAAATTGGTTGCTGGCTCTTTTTAATAATTCACATTTAAAGCAAACAATAATTCAGTGTTCGCATGCCCACAGGATAGGGTAAATGAGGATATAACTAATCAAACAACAGACACATGTAACAGTTAGTAATTGTATGGTGGCTACTGTTTACATATTAAAGTAGTTTAAAATGCTCCCACATCTTGATATAGAGCATCTGTAAAGTACCTATGGTTATGCTAGGGGGAAAAGTTAATGCAGATACTTTTGGCATTTTAGTTACTGAGGCTTTGAAGTGAGTGAACGCTGATGAAGAAAAAAATAGCAGGATATCCACCTCGAATTTTATAAACAACTGCAAAGCATGGGGCCCATTCATAGAAGAACAAGCATGATGTATGAGTTGGCCAATTATGAACATACAGTTGATTGGTGGAACATCACTCTCTCCCATTGATTTGTGCGTTTTTATCTGTTTGTTGTTTTAGTTACAAATCCTCCAGATTAGCTGGTAATGAAAAAAAGCTGACAGTCCCACTCAGAAACGAGGACGAAAGGAAATGCGGATGGGAAATGTGAGGTGGGCCCACGCCCTTGAGTATAATGCCTCAGACATGGACTTTATGGCCATTACCAGTCCCTAATTTGATTCCGCCGTACGATCCGGAACAATCAGGACCAGGCTTGTCTTTAAGGATGACTGGTAAAACCCAGCCAATGGAAAAGTCAGTCTGCATAGCAACATGGAGACGATGCAAAAACAAGCTCACTCAGACCCCTCATAGGTCAGTTCAGGAGGAAATAGACCTGGTCATGTACACACCTGTAGCCACTAGACTGGAAAACGACAGAAAAAAAGCAGACAAAATCTCCAACTGCCAACTAAAACTTACTACATCACAATTAGCCTACTAGAACTATCTTACAGTAGAGAAGTCTATATGGCAGTGCAATATGTGAATCTCTTTGTAGCTAGTTAGAACATGATGGAAACTTGTTCCTCATCCTCACTACCGTGGCCAGTTTAACAGCTTTTCCATGGGAACGCTCCCCAGTATACTCCAGCTGCCGGAAGGGAGCCAAGAGATGCAGGGTTTGAATGTGGGATAGGGCGAGCCTCCATTAAACTGGTGATCCCAGCATGGCGGTAAACCTCTGTGTGCTTCACTCCTTCCTACTGTAAAAGCCTGGTTGAGGCGTCAGGCCTGCCTGGGCAGCAAGAGCTCTCTGCCCCTCCCCGGCCAAATATTGTACCTCCAACCTGATTGGATTGAAAGCAAATGCTTTGCTTTAATAAAAATTAAAATGCATGAACGTGCAGTATACTGTCTCTGGAGAGACAACTTATTCTGACAGCAAATTAAGAAAGTGGTTTATTGTGCTTACCTTTCACTAGCTGCTTAGCTTGTTTGCAGTGCTGCTGATTCATCTGAATAACTGCTAGCCCCATCTGTGACTTCAGCAGTTCGAACATCAATCAATGTTTTATTCACAAAGTGTTGCAGACCTTAGAGAAAATATTACATGGACATTTTTTACCTATTTCCCAGAGGTGCATCATTGAAGGCATTTGTGATCTTCGCAGTCTATCCAAAACGATTCAATCTTCCGTTCTTTACAGCTTGTATAGTGAAGAAAAACAAAGGTAGAGCTGGATAATCGCTTAATGGGGGTTGCACCACACCTTCTTCTCGTGTCCATGTCTCTACACATTGAGCAAAATTAGTAGGCTTAGTTTACTTAGTGGGTGAATTAATCAATTCTGATTGTCAGTCGGAGCCCTTTATATATAAACAGGTAAAACACAGCTGTCACTGGGGAGGACCCCTAGTCTTATTAAGTGTGGATTATATTCACAAAGTGGAACCTAAGTAGCATCTAGCTTCCACCAAAAGAAGAAGCATATAGCCACACAGCCTTCTAGTAAATCACTAGTTTTCATATGTACATGTTGTTGGAGTATGCTTATTTGACTAGCTAGTCGCTGGCACAGTGCCAATTACACAATGCTGAACCAGAATCAAAGACACTCAAAAAATATACGCTGCATTATTATCTATATTCTAACTCTTATCATTTTAAGTTTCAACTTACTCTTTTTTTGGCACCAAAAAAGTGTGGAATATCTCCTCTCCTCTTGCTCATGTTGACTGTGAATGAAATATAATCTGCATTCAATAAAGTAGTAATCATACATTTGAAATAACACACCTGAATTTTAACATTTTTCAATTACCTAGCCAGTTAAAATTCCCAAATTCCAGTGTGAAAACAAATGGTGTGCTTATTGTAAAAAGATCAAATATGACATTTTACAGTGGTAATGAAATGCCAAGCCAATATTAGAAATGATTGAGTGAGCTATCAGCTAGCTAACATCAGATAGCTCATTTAAGTAAAAGAAATGTTAGCTTTAGCTAGCTAATATTAGTCAACATTAGCTAAAGTGTAAAGGCAAAAGTTAGAAACTAGCTAAGTTTAGCATTCATCCATAGAAACACAATCTAATCACGAAACTCTGAAGGTAGGAAAGTTAACAGTATTAAACAAGCTAAGCAGCTATCTACTTATATTAACCTACAGTGTCTCCATTAGCATGCTGTGTGATGCACTGGACTTCACTGAGCCCCTGTGATGCAGGCAGACAAGACATTCAACCAATGTCAAGGTTAGGAAATGGTATGGTCCATTTTAGGGGTGTCTGAATATTTTAAGATTCTTGAGGCATGAAAATGGAAAATACATTGTATACATAATATTTACAATTAAAGGTAAGAAAGACCCACCTGAACTGTTGTTATTATTTCTAGTGGTCTCTCACATCTATAACAAAAAATGTAGTTTACATATAAGGTTACACATTATACCTGTAACAGAAATTAAATTGTCTTTTTCTGCTGCAGCTTGAATATCTGCTCTGTCAAATCAGAAACTAAAAGGGAGAAAAATATATTTTGTTTTTTGTGGTTTCACACTCAGCCAATCAAATCACTTCATTTTAAACCATCTTTGCATAAAGCAGTAACATCCCTGTTCTTTCACTGGCAGGCGGTCACACTCACAGCCAAACAGCAGCCTGCTCCACAACACAACAGACTTTGAACAACTACCCGTATTAGCTTTCCTACTAAAGTGTCCTTTTTACTAAATAACAAACATTAATACATGTCTTGTGTATCCTCCACTGAATGAGCCATGAAGCAGTTTGTAGGCTAGGGTTAGGCAGCATTAAGCAGCATAAAACTTACAACACCAGTGTTAACAGCACACTGTCTTCCTGGCACTATAGCACAAGTTTGTTTACTTCGTCTGTCATTCCCCTGCTGGAGCTCAGCCTGCCAGCTACTCTTACACAAACTCTTGCATGCCCCTCCAGTGGCAGAGTAAGAAAATTAATACTTCTGATATTTCCTGAAAGTTTTTTTTTCTTTTTTTAAACTACTTTTTGACTGCAAAAACGGATGACTAAATGTGATTTCAGTTGGACTTAAAATCCCAGCAGCCATTAAACATTTATCAGCAACACTTGCTACCTCCTGCTCATATTCATGTTGGGCAAAGAACAAGAATAATATGACTGATTTACGTTGCTTGGTGAATGCCATGCATTTGCTGCCCATATACAACAGCTGGGTGAGCAAGGCGTATGTCTGTGTTCTTGGTAATGGCTTTTTCCTGCTTACAGTGGAGAGTGGTGCCTCCTACTATTTACCTGTTTAATTGTACCTTAATCGTACCCATCCCTTTACTATAGATTGTCCCATGGCTGTGAGTTATATTTACCGCCTTGTTGTTCATTGAGCCACTCATATATCCACCCCAGTTTCCCACACTGGCCATGGTCCTTAACTGTAAACCTAGATGACCTTACTTGCTGGTTGATGGCATGCTTGTGGTTATTAGTCTAATGGTTATAATTAATTTGGGAGGGGAAAATTTGTGATTCAGTATGTGTCAGGAAGAACACTGACCACTCTGTCTAGAACTGTCTTTGACCTCTGAATTGTAATACAGAGAAAGAGGTCACACAGAGGTTATGGTGCAGTTCATTCACAGCCAGTCTATAGTATGTGACAGGAGTTTATGAGAGCGGTACTTAACGCTGCTTGACAGCGTCCTGAGTTTTCCTTTAATGTGGCAAGTCAGACGCCCTTCCATAGCGCTTGAGTTACTGTCTTCTATCCTCTCTCATTTTAGGCTCAGCTGAAGAGGCGTACTGGGTGAAAAACGATCTTTATTGAATTGGCCCCTGACTGTAAAGTTAACTGCCATCAAGCCATGGACTTTTTCTCAGGTCTTAGGCCAACAGGTTTCTCTTGATGTGTAAGGATCCCAGACCTATGCCTTGTCACTCTGCAGTGCCTTTGTGTGCAGTCATAAAAAGGTAAATGAGGCATTCATTCTGGTAAACCATACAATTAAATACAATAAACATGATTAAACAATGTTACATCTGCAAGGTCATACAAGATTAGATTCAAACATGTTAAATGAAACCTGAGGCAAAATGAGTTTATGAGCCAAATCCAGACTCCAAAACAGTTTGAATGTGTTCTATTCACCAAACAAACACTCGCTCCACCAAAGAACACAAAAATGACAGAATATGCAAATCACACACACTGTAAAAATGGAGTATGTATTTTGCGCTGCGTTAACGTGCACATTATAGACCCTCCCTGTTTAAATAGACCTGTGTGGCCTTTACACAGGTCTACCTAACTTGACGTCAGAAATCACCCACTAAATAGGAGGCACATGGGAGTTTGGAGTGAAAGTTATTTTGAAAACCCCATTGCCAGGCTGGCTTGGTTTGTCTGATTTGGGTTGGACCTCACATGGTCACCACGGCACTTGTCAAATGTTTCATCTGGTTTGAAATTGCTTTGGTGCGAAAGTGGCTATCACAGCTCCAAGTGGCAGCTAGACTCCTAAATGCAGGCTTTAGTGAAAGGCTAAGCCATAATGGCACCTCATTTCCAGTCAGCCAGAACATTCTTTTACTTTTCCAACAGAAAGAATCAGGCAATCTGACATCTGGCAATGTAGATTATGGTGACATGTAGAAAAAATCTTTCAATGGTATTAAAAATGAAAAACAAAACTATTTTCACTGACTGATTGTAATCGGTGTATTTTAGCGTGGCTTTTTAACAGTGAAAATATTCTCAAAAGAGGCTGGCTGTAATATATACATTTATTGATCTAATGTAAAATAGCACATAGAATAAGTGTGCTTTATATTCTTAATACAGTGTTTCTCTTTTGAATTTTAGAACCACATTCACACGCCTAGACACAGCAAAACTTCTTTTGAAAATAAAGATTCATCTGTGGAGTTAAAGCCATGGGCATTCTTACCAATGCCCCCCAGTGATCACAATCTTCTAAACCGGCTATCCCATACAAGATTTTAAAGCCCACATAACAGGCGGTGCATACAGTACTAATTAGCAACTTTTAATACCTGGTTTTTACATTTTTCTCTAAAAAAAAAAGAAAACACTGTCCATGAGTCCTTGCTTGTTGACTCGTTCTAAGCTTCTCCTGGGTAGAAACGTCAGCTAGACGCCTTGAAACTCTTCACTAAATTTCCTTTGTGGTTGTCCTGACACACATTCCTTGTTGTTTTTCAAGTGGAGTAAAGCAGTGACCTCACATGAAGCGTCTGCAGCTCTGGATTTGTAGTGCAGCTGATGTTGGGTTACATCACACCACGAATGCAGTTTGTTCTCAGACATTACGAGAGTGACTTAAAATATTTCGTCTCATGGAAGAAGAACTTGTTTTTAAGTCATAGGTCAAGTAATTGTATCACACCTCTGGCTCTACGTGTTTCTCCTTTAATGACATTGTGTAGAAATATGTATGAATGGTGCTTGAGAAGTGAATAATTTCAATGTGGGACCACAGCATTTGGGGTCCCCCTGCAAGGGTGTTGCCTTCACTAAAGAAGTTTTTCACTAAACAGTTTTTATTTTAGACGTCTCTTTCTCTTTTTTTCAGTGCAACAACATGTCATTCTGTGCAGATAAAATGTCTGTTAATACTTGCGAAACCATGAATGACTTTTTTTTTTATTTTACATCCTCATGACTCACTGTGAGTTATAAAAGCAATTACTCATAAATTAAATATTGTGGAAAATACTGTTCTCAAATAAAAAAAGGATAATTAGGGAAATTGTGTTACAGTGTTTTTGTGCAGGGGCATTTGTCTAGCAGTAGGACACTTCATTTACGGCCAAGCCTATTATTTGGAACCTTGATCCGAGATTATATATCTGTGATAAAATGTTTCCGTGTGGTTTTGTCACAGCATGTGCCACCCAAACCCCAAACACGCATTTATCCACATGGTTTGTGACACACCAGTGTTAGAGTGGATTAGAAAAACTTTTCTGCCACCAAGTATGTGTGTCACTGCTGTGAACACTGGGATAAATGCTCTTAAAACAGTCTGGATATTATTCACTTTTGTGATTTTAACAGTAATGGTAACATTGGCAGTGGCACCAAAAATAAAAGGGCCCATTTTAAAATCAGAAAAATTATTATGATGATTAGCTTCTTCTTTTTTTTTTAAATGTGAGGCGAAACATGCTGTTACACTGATATCATTGGCCCAGTTTTTGCGGATGTTAGTAATTTGTGCATATGCAGTAACAGTCATTTCAACTGCTAAACACAAACCCAGTAAATAAAAAGCCAGACAGCATCTCTTGCGGTCCAGAAAACAAATATATGTGCAAAAATAGCTTTGACCTAAGAGCGTCTTTCTTATGTTCTTTCCTTGTGCCTCCAGATTGGAATGTTTTTCAGACTGAGGCAACATACCATGAGAGCAAAAAATTACACGCAGGGAACAATCTGTGGAATATTTTTGTAAAGAAGCGTTAACTATATGAACATTAGGCTAAATAGTCAGCAGCGTCATGCCATTTGAAGTAGTGCAGCATTTTCTAAATTAAAATCTTAGTGTCATCGCTCTGCATAAAGTCAGTCAGGCATTGTTGTTCACTTTAAAACCATGGACAAATTCCAAGCATGCCGAAAGACATCTATAAAGGTTAAGGTCAGTGCCATTGCTGTTTGATGATATCATGAGATGTTAAATGTTATAGACAATTTCAATTGTTTGAAGATGACCAAA